CAGCTATAATAAGTCAGTTTATTCTATTACTCATATATCATAATTTCAAGCCTTATATTGCTACCATTCACATCACTTTCTCCAGGCAGTATAATGATTCCTGAAACTTGCCAAGGTTTCCTTCGAACAAACTGCTAATCAACATTGCCAGGCAATTGCTGACCTCACCATTGCTGCAGGAGACTTCATCTAGCTTTCTACCAGATTTCTTCTTGGTACCCGATTGTCTAAAAAAGCCAGACACCATACATCTAAGATTTTTCCCAGTACGTGGACTGATCATGGACTTTATTGTAGCTTTGTTGTATCACTCTGTGGTAGCTTCCAATTGCATTAAAAATAAACCTGATTTTCTTCCATTTCTTCCTGTCCTAAGATGCCCCTGTACTTCTTACCACACTACCAGAAGCAGCATCCATGTTGATGTGGGGAAAGGAATACTTTGAGATGGAGCATATCTGGATTTTTGGCACAGAAGAGGCAGACCAGAATACTTATTTCACTGGAAGAGTTAAGCAGACCCAGACAGATCCTGGAAAATAGGAGTTGGTGTCCACACACTCCTTCAACAGTTCTATATGCTCAGTAACAGAGGTGGTATTCAACTGGTTCGGATCAGTTTGCCCAAACCGGTAGTGGAAATCACGTGTGGCCGCCCACTCGCTTCAGCTCTATGCCATCCTATTTAGGCACGTTTTTGAGGCTGGGCGCATGCGCGGAAGGTGCACATGCCAACAAAGCACATGCACAGAAGGCCAGGCACATGCATGGACATGCATGCTCACATTTGCGAACCGGTAGGGAAAGTAAATGAATACCACCCCTCCTCAGTACCCAACCAAATCCAAGCCTCTGACTGGTGTGCATTGCAGCTTTAGCACTTATGGATTCTTCAGATACTGAGAGGAAAAGTGCTCATACCAGACGAGTGTAAACCCGCCAAATATCTGAAAATCTGAAGTCTGGAGTCAAATTTGTACGTTCTAAAATTAAATATATCCAAGATATTACTACTTTATTATGTGTGTCTTTATTGCAGCTAACTCTCTGACTTATTGAAGTATATAAGTCCAGGGAATCCCATTAAAACCCTAATATCTGATTACCACAATGAGAGTTGACAGGGCTCTTAATGAAGTCCTGCAACAACCAGCAGGAGAAACAAAAACTGAGAGGACATGAAATGAAGATTATTTGAAATGATGCTGCTATGACAATAAAAATAATCAAGTTTATTTAATGCTCATCTCTCTTCCATCAGTCAAAAATATCTTAACATTTTGGTGGTCCTGACAGAAATCTGTCCATGACACCTCCTACAGTTTTTATGGCAGCATTCATTTCATTAAAACTACAAAGAAACACAAAACCTTAACCAAAAAGTTGGAAATCTGAACATTTGAGGAATATACTGTACAGTATGTGCATGCACTTGTGTGCAAGAATTTAAAATGTAAATAAAGGGGTTCTTTCCCTTTGAGAAGCAATGCATATTCTGTTTTTCCCTGCTGAAATCATAATTATGGTTTCCATTGACTGTTGCTTAAATAATAAATATACATAAAAATGATTAACATCAAACTCAGTTTAATTTTTATTGTAGCTCAATAAGGTAAAGCATGAACCTTGTCCATTCTTAAAGACTCATAGGCAAAGTCACATTTTTATCCTTCTTTGTAAAAAATTAACACAAAGCTGATGGTCAACTAGAAATTGCCAGTAATTTCTCCATCTCATACTTTACAAGATTTCTTTCTCTATAATATAATTCAAAAATTGATAGAATGTAATTGGTGTTTACTTTAATTAACTTTGGGTTTATGTTTCCTGTTTATTTATAGATAGACAAATATACGGATAGTGTATAGGCACAGCCAGATGTGCTATTATCCTTCTCATCTTTCCTATTACCTATTCCTTTAGCACAAGGGTGCTAACTAACTTTAGCAAAAGGGTGCTAACTCAAGTGCTTAGATCTGGCCAGCGGGGCTGCCTTGGAAACAGCAAAGGACTGGCCCGCGGTGCCTCTGCCAGCAAAAATGGAGTTGGCTTTATCATGTTATGACTATCACTTTGTTGTTTGTACCTTTTGATTTATGGTAATTGTTTTTATTTAGCATCTTATGGCTATCATTGAGTGTTGTATCTTATGGTTCATGATGATTGTATTATGATTGTGATTTATCACTTGTTGATTGTATGTACACTGAGAGCTTATGTACCAGAGACAAATTCCTTGTGTGTCCAATCACACTTGGCCAATAAAGAATTCTATTCTAAAATATAAAAAAATTAAAAGAAAAAAAGCCATATCATAGGAAATATAATGGAATGATATCGATTGAAATAGGGTTGTGGATGCAGAATCTACCATTCATAATGCAGCTATAGTATATTTGAAAGAATTTAATCTCTAATTAAATTACAACTCACAAGATGAAATTTTCCATCTATTGATTTCCAACCCCTCATATATCTTGTTAGCAAAGGTTATCTAGCATAACAATAACAAGTTTTCTGTCATTGTTTACTGAACAGTGATGAGATCCAGTTACTAACATCATTCTTAACTTTATGACTTCATTCACATAAAGCCAGAAATACATATAGCGGTTCATACTGTCCATGGACAGATCCCTGTGTAACTTCAGTTCTGCTATGGTGAATTTACGACATATAAAAAGGAAAAAATAAACTCCCTTTTTACGACCCTGAAATCCCCTAATTATTTGGGATAGAGTCAGGGAGGACTGGATGGAGCTGAGAGTTTACTGGCCAAATGCCCTTCCTTACATCACCCAGATTCGCAGCAAATATTTTTTCTAGAAGAGAAATATCTGCTGCTTCCTAGAATTGAACTCTCAACCTGCTGAGTGGGAGGCGAGCATTTTCACCACTAGGCCACCATGCCACTCATATAGAAAGGGAAAAAAAATAAATTTGCAAATATGTTTTGGATACTGCACATGCAAAGAAGCCAGAAATAATGGTAGCCCTGTGGCATATATCTGTCTTGTCTCCCCCCCCATGTTATTCTCTTTATCAATGCCTGTTGAATACATATTTTCCCAAGCTTTTAAAACAAACATGTTATTCAGCTGTGCTTATATTATTCTCATCTATTTCTTGTTCTTGTAATTTCTTTAAGAATAACAAGTGGCTCACTGCTATATTTTACCATCTTAATTTGAGATGTCCTCAGAGCAGAGTTAGATTGGAAGCATGATAGAGTATAAATTCAAGAAGTAATGACCAATGCAGTAGTAATTCTTGCTAGCTATGTTTATTCCCACAGAAACAGGATTCATGTAACCGTTGTTAATATATTAATGTTTTTGGCTCTTTAAAATATTATAAAAACGAAAATGTTATACCCAAACACTAAAGGAATGCTTTTGACCTAAACTTTATTTCAAAGCTCCTCCAGAAAAACATGTAATTTTATAAAAGTGAACTGTTTTTCTTCCAGCAGCTCAGCAACTCACAGGGCAAGGAGGAAACGAAATGGAGGTAATGTAGGAAAACAGAAAAAATAGCTTCAAGTTTTTTTCCACCAGCAGAACGCTGCTCCTGAAAAATTATTTTTTTCAAGAAAAGATAGCTCTGAATAGAAAAATAGTTTCCGCTCTTTCATGTAGATGAAGGGAATAAATAGGATCAGGAATTATGCAGTTCTTAATCTCTCAAAAAACTACAGAATAGGAAATTATTAAACTCATGAAGAATAATAGTAATGCCATTTATTTTTTTTACCCATTCATTAATTAAATATAAGTTAAATCAAATTTGGATTTTGCTCAGTCAGCACCGATATTGCAGAATGAGGCTCCTTACGCCCAATTCAAGGGCAAAGTAGAAGTCTTGGCTGAAAAAAAACCCTGAATGTTCCTGTTGTGAAAAACAAAAGAGCTCTCAAATACCGCTGCAGGATTTAACTCTTAATCATTTTCTGGTTGAGAAAAACTAACGTAATATATGGACTATGCATTTAGGAAGCACATATAAGCAAGTTAGACATGAATGAATGAACAAATGAATGAATGGACAAGCAATTTTGATGGTTACAGCAAATTCAGCAAGTAGAACATAGAAGAAATCAGAAGAGTGCCTGAATGGATGGATATAATAGAAAAACAAAAATCTGAATAGATTCCTCATATGCATAGAGATGCCAGTTTCTCCCAAATTCACAATCTGAACTACACAGTTATATGCATGGAAGATAAATGCTTTTCACTATTTAGTCTTGAAATCTGTGACTGAGAGATAAATTGTCCCTGCACAAGCAATGTACTATCTAAATTTAGATGGACGGACAAGTAAGAAAACAAGTAAGAAGATGGAAAGCAAACGTGGGCCGAGTTAAAAATAATAACCAAGGAACTGGATAACACCCTAATCATCAGCTTAATCTCCTCCAAAACTAATTGCCAGAAAGTTTGTATTTATGACAGAAATATATTTTCTTTTCTGTTATGCATCCAAAAAAGAAAAAAGAGCTAAAGTAGGAGGTTTTCTCCAAACCTATATAAACAAGATGCCCAAAAATGAATCTTCAGCTGATTGATACAAAGTGATTCTTTCATTTTAGCATCCCACAAATATTTCCAAATATTTCCAAATCTTCTATAGTACATACTTAATAACAATTCACCCCATCAGGATGAAAGAAAGAAAGAAAGAAAGAAAGAGAGAGAGAGAGAGAGAGAGAGAGAGAGAGAGAGAGAGAGAGAAAAAGAAAGAAAGAAAGAAAGAAAGAAAGAAAGAAAGAAAGAAAGAAGGCCAAAACACTAGCTGGACAGAAAACAGAATAATTGCATAGGAATTATATATCCATGAAATGCTTGGAACTGGGAGATATTTCTGAACAAAAACCATGCCTGGTTGATGTTTAGATAAACTCGGTTACTCCCATTTATACATATTTTGTTAATTAGGATCCCAAACTATTTTCCTTGGGGGTAGAGAGAGTCTATGAAAAACTCTTGTTTATGACTTACTTGTGCTTGCTTGCATAGTTTCAGAGGATGGAGGGTTTCTTGATAGAAAAGCTGGTGATAATCCTGTAGGTCAAACCAAAAATATGTGCTGTTCTTCCATAGCTACAGATGGAAGAGATGGGAGGAAAGATATTACTACCAAGTTTTTATTGCTTCGTGCTGCCTTGCTCAATTTGGCAACTTCATGATGTATGGACCAGAGGTGGGTTTCAGCAGGTTCTGACCAGTTCTGCAGAACTGGTAGCAGAAATTTTGAGTAGTTCGGAGAACCGGTAGTAAAAATTCTGACTGGCCCCGCCCCCGTCTATTCTCTGCCTCCCAAGTCCCAGCTGATTGGGAGGAAATGGGGATTTTGCCGTAACCTTCCCCTGGAGTGGGGTGGGTATGGAGATTTTACAGTATCCTTCCCCTGCCATGCCCACCAAGCCATACCCACTAAGCCATGCCATGCCACGCCCACCAAGCCACACCCACAGAACCGGTGGTAAAAAAATTTGAAACCCAACACTGGTATGGACTTCAACTCCCAGACTTCCCCACCCAGGGCTGTCTGGGGAATTCTGGGAGTTGGAGTTCACACATCTTATAGTTGCAAAGGTTAAGAAACACTAGGTTAGTGTCCTAAATTTCAAGAGTTCTCCTAGGAAATAGTACACCCCCACCCCAGTAAAATTTGGATAGAATCCTTGCCAATTATATTGTATCCATGGATGGGTCTGCTATTTTAAGGCTGTTTCAGAAACACTTCACAAATGCTGCTGTGCTTAAAAGACCAGGAGGGAAGACAAATTGCAGGGGAATGTTTGTTTCAGTGCATAGTAGCATGTTGTCTTGATAAAGCAAAAGAAGCTCAAATGCTCAATACCTAGGACAGCATCGTTAGAAGGTGGGAAAGCACTGAAGATCTGCTGTTAGAACGAGTGCAGAATCATAAGGGAACATTAGCAATTTATTCTCTTTTCTTTTTGTGAAGATGGGAAATGAATGTGGGTTTATACATAGGTTTGGAAGGGTAGCTAGAAGCAAGCTTCATTGGAGATCTATTGCCTAGAAAGTTCAGTGGTTCGAATCCCTAGTACAGGTCTTCGGCCTGAGCAGGGGGTTGGACTAAATGACCTCCAAGGTTCCTTCCAACTCTGTTACTGTTAAACCATGCACACAGTCCTGTCACTGTGTCCTGATCTCCAAACAAGATCCGATGGAGTTAAACAAAGAAACCCAAGTCAGTTTTGGGTGGGTTTTAAAGTAAATTCAGATGGTTGAGAACAAAAGAGTAGGAGATCTGGAAGAATACCAAGGGAGATTCAGTTCCTTGAGATTAATTATAAATCATATTTAATTTAGCACAGTTTGAGTAGTATTTTTGATACTGGCAGAATGACAGCAATGTATGAAGATACTGAATGTAACTGAAATACATTCTGTATATTTTATTGTACGCTTTGCATACAGTATAATTGGTAATTAAATTGTTAATGTAAATTGCAAAGTTTAAACATATTGGGATGGAATTAGAGCAACTGTTCATAATATACATCTAAAATTTATGCTTTGACAGCATTTTTTCACAATTGCTGATATTATTATCCTGACCAATATACCAGTACATTTTTATGAAGCATTCTTGAACTATGTTTTATTAAAGTTATTGCTCAGAGCTAAGTGTTTCCAGAGGGACAAAAAAGCTTTATGAATCTTGTTAGTTCAGTAGCTCCTCTTTTTTTAAAAAAAAATCTATTTTTAAAACTATTATTTTAAAATGCTGAACAAGCCAGCTGACATAACATATAAATTTTGACTATAAAAATTGGACTCTACTTTATGTAATTTTAGTGAACCTCCAGTGAGTTGAAATAATTAATATATCTTGAACTAAAAACAATAAACATACTTAATTACTTTATTTATTTATTTATTTATTTATTATTTTAAAAGTATATAATTTAATATTTAAGACCTGCTGTCCTCTTGTATACAAACATATGGACTATGTTTGGATGCAAGAAATACATTCAGCTTTAATGAATTATGTTTCCAAGTAAGCATACTCAGGATTAAAACATTGCAAATCTTTTACCTATAAATGTCCCATAATTTTCAATAGGTGTCATTTGGTAACACCTATAGATAAGATAACCTATAGATAAGAAAAGCATTTCTCACATTTTCTAAATATTTTGTTGGAAATAAGATCCAGTGAAATAAATGGGGTGAAATCCAGTGAAATTACAATTTCAAGTAATTATGTATAGAATTGAAATAGTATGGACTATACTTTAAAATAGACCCCCACAGAAATTGCTCAAGAAACACTGTTATTTCTTGAAGCATCTTTTATCTGAAGGCACAGGCATATATGTATCTTAGTTTTTCAGTGACACATTTTTCTTCCATTTTAGTGGAAATTGAATAGATATGTTCACCCTAAAGACAGACTTTACTACATAGATTTCAAGAAGAAAAGTGATTCCACATTGTTAATAACCACCTTTAACTCTATGAATGTACAATGACCTGCTGCGAATAGAACTTTTTCTGAAATAGAGAATAGTTTTGTTTGGAAGAATTAAGTATGTTGACTATAAGAGAGCTACAACAGATCATTCCAGAGCCATGTGAAGCTGAAATGAGCCTAAACCAATGCAAGACAGCACCACTTATTCAAATGTTTAAATTCTCACAAGGGAAAACTAACACTGTACTGGACTAAAAACCCCATCAGCTTCAGCCAGCATGTTTATTTAAAATACTAATATTCAGATGTAATTAACTTAAATGTGCAAAGCTGTAGGTTTTGAAATCAGTCTTCAATTGCAAGCTAAATTGCTGATCTTTGGCCAGACACTCTTGATTTTTACAAGCCTTTTTTTCCTCCTTAAAGCTGTGGGAAATCTCCAAGTTATCAATGAAAATCCAACCAAGAAATCCACCAATAAGAAATTCTTCTTACCGTATCGCCTGATTTCTCACAGAAGTCACTGAAGACGTAGCCTGCTCTGTTCTCCAAGTAAAGAGATTGCAGCATTCTTTCCATTTTAGAACTCCCAAGTTCGGAAAAATCTGGGGAGATTTTACCCTGAATAACAGAGCAACAATTCATCAAGATGATGCAGTTTCATTGTGTCTTGGGTGAAACTGTCTTTGTAACTGCTGTTATTTTTATTTGAAAGAGAGAAAGCACAATCAGATATAAAATTTGCTTTGCTGTTTTTATTACAAACTTCATAGGTTTCTCCCCCTCCCCAATTTCTTATATAGTATGGTGTTAAATTTGTCTCCCTCCCCCTTCCTTTCCCGTTTTCTTCCTAGTAACATTTTTTCCCTTTTCAATGGCTACAAAATGCCATGTGGGTGATGGCAGTTTTTAAATTCTACTGATGCTATGGTTATAGTTAGTTGATCTTTTTCACTTCTTTGCAATAATTAATAATGAAGGGACCCTGGAAGACACTGCAATTTATCAGATTTGCTGTTATGTTAAAAGGGACTTATAGCAGCTGAGTCTCATTTAAAAATAAAAACAAAAACTGGCCATGGGGTTCATTTTGTGTAGCTTGTTCCTTAACCATTCTTGACGTATGTCAAGTGGGCATATCCTGATTATGGTTTTAGCTGCAACAGTTAGCTAACCATAGATAGTTAGATGCATTTCTGGTATCTGCTGGTTCTTAATAAAGGTAAAGGTTCCCCTCGCACATATGAGCGAATCGTTCCTGACTCTAGGGGGCGGTGCTCATCTCCGTTTCAAAGCCGAAGAGCCAGTGCTGTCCGAAGATGTCTCCGTGGTCATGTGGCCGGCATGACTAAACACCAAAGGCACATAGAACGCTGTTACCTTCCCACCAAAGGTGGTCCCTATTTTTCTACTTGCATTTTTTACGTGCTTTCGAACTGCTAGGTTGGCAGAAGCTGGGACAAGTAACGGGAGCTCACCCCGTTACGGGGCACTGGTTCTTAATAGACCTGCTAAATTTCAATCAAATTTTCATCACAGATTTGAGTCTAGTGACAGATTCAATCCAGAGTTATAGTACTAAATTTTAGATAGCAATATTCAATTTGAAGGCAAAAAGAAGGAATTTTTCAGCCTTTGGAAAACTTTAATTCATAAAGAAAGGAAAGGATTAATGAATACATACGAATATGCTCTATTGCAAGATTATTTCAGCATTGTTATGCCATTTTTATAAAAAGGCAAGAAATTTTTGCAGTTAGCTATTATATTAGCTGCACACCAAAAGAAGGCACTACATGTTTTTATATTGTTTTAATTCTTGATTGGGAGTTGCCCAGAATGTAGTATAAGATGTGGTAATTATATATAAATTTTTAAACTCAATTAGTAACTAGTTTCATTTTTATTGGTACTCTTCGGATATAGGTGTCTTCCATACTACATGTTCTATATTTAATTCTTTAACAAGATTTGAACCTACAAGAAAAAAGAAGGTGTACCTGCATAGCTTCCATAAGTTTTGCATTTGTTTTTATTTGTTGCTGTCTCAAATATCTGAACATATTAGTTTTCATATACCCTTTTGAAACTGTAAACTCTTGATGTTCACGGAATAGCCTTTTCCCAGAAGAATGGCTATGGTCAGTTCTCCTTCACCCAAAATATACTGCTCAAAAAAATAAAGGGAACACAAGCAGAAGACATCCGAGATCTGAATGAATGAAATAGCCTTGTTAAATACTTTGTTCTTTACATACAGTAGTTCATACACTGCTCAAACAACTAAAGGGAACACAAAACTACTGTATGTAATGAACAAAGTATTTAATAAGGCTATTTCATTCATTCAGATCTCGGATGTCTTCTGCTTGTATTCCCTTTATTTTTTTGAGCAGTGTATATTTCATTTAGACATCCACAATTTTTTTAAAAAAATTCTGCCTCTCCACAGAGAAGATATTTAATGCCACAGTTCTTGGTACTCAAATGGTACTCACAGGGATCACTTCTGCATAGGTGTATTTTCGATCTAGTTGTGGTTTCAGGTAATCCATTCTATCACTAAGTGTCATATGAGACACGGTGCTGCACGCTGTTGCTGGCCTACACAATGAAAAACAAATGGGCACAAAAGGACCTTGAGGGTAATCAGAGAAATTAAATCATGGTTAGTGTTGTTGATTCTGCACCTAAATAATCAGTACCATCACTTTTAAGTGCTTCAAGGTAATAAGAAAATATATAGAGGTTTAGTTCCTTTATCTTTTTCTTAAGCCTTTTGTATGCACCCTCTTTGTGATGAGACACTTGTCTCATGAATAAAGAAACTATTCTATTTTTAATGGATAGAAAATAACACCAGCATCTGCATATGCATGGATTTTTGCAGGTTCAGAGTACTAAGAAATAATAATGTATATGCATTAATAGCTGAGCAACTTATTCAATAGTAGGAAGGTGTAGTGAATTCATAATTCCATTTTACAATCTTTTCTTGCAACAGTCGCTGTTAAACAAATTTAATGCAATCATTAAGCAAACTCATTATTTGCTATGAAGCGTTTTTGCTAAAAACCAGAAGCAAACGCCAACCTTCAGCGAAACCAACATAAATTGCTATCACATAACTGCAAGACGTGGCAAAAGGCCATAAATGCAAGCTGGATGCTCAGCAGTCATGTGACGGGGGGGCTGGCTGTTGGAACTTTGGAACCAGATCATGAGTACTTTTGGGGGAGGCTCTATTGTAACTACAAACAATTGCAAAGCTATTAGTTACTGTATATGCTGAAAACTACCTTTATTATCTAGGACTTCTTTTGGCCTGAAAAGGTTAGGGTGCTAGGTGTTCCCTGCTACTTGTTCTTTGGACCACTGCACATTCTGGCTCTTGTGGGGAACAGGTAGACAGGTAATTGCTAGCACATGGGTGTCAAACCTGCTGCGTTACATTGCCGTCACATGACATTTCGTTACATTCTTCCTCTTTGCAGAGCTGGAGTGGGCATGGCCTGTGTGTGATGCATCCGGCCTGCAGGCCGCCAGTTTGACACCTCTGATCTAGGAGATTGTGAATACTTTTCTGTGGAAGAGGATGTACTAATAGTCTTCTGTAGAGCTAGATATATTCCTTCTGAAGAGGCCATTTCTGGATCCAACTGATTTAAATTAGTATAATTTGATCTCCAACCTCTCCTTTGTGGGGAAGGTTGTTGAGACAATGGTGATAGACTAACATTGCAGCACCTGAAAGAAGCAGATTATTTGATTTCCTACCAGTAAAGGGTTCAGGCCTTGGTATGGAACAGAGATCGTACTGGTTACGTTCAACTCCTAGCAGCAGGCAAAGTTAGCCTGCAAAACTGCCTTCTGACCCTTGCAACACCATGGTTCCTGGCAATCTCTCCCACGTCCCATGATCTTGTTAAGCATGCTGCCCCATCAAAACCATTGTTTGGTCTGGCTAAGGATAAAGTACGCCAGGAGTAGCTGTGAGAGGGATCTTCAAGTCTTAGTGAACAACCAGTTAAATATGAGCCAGCAATTTGCAGCAGCAGCTAAAAAAGCCAATGCACTCCTAAATTGCATTAACAGAGGGATACAATCAAGATCAAGTGAGATACTAATACCACTCTATAAAGCCTTAGTAAGACCACACCTAGAATACTGCATCCAGTTTTAGTCACCACACTATAATAATATGTTGAGACTCTAGAAAAAAGGCAGAGAAGAGCAACCAGGATGATTAGGGTATTGGAGACTAAAACATATGAAGAACGGTTACAGGAACTGGGCATGGCTAGTCTCGTGAAGAGAAGGTCCAGGGGAGACATGATAGCAATCTCCCAAATATTTGAGGGGCTGCCACAGAGAAGAGGGGGGTCAAGCTATTTTCCAAAGCACCCAAAGGCCAGACAAGGAATAATGGATGGAAACTGATCAAGGAGAGATTCAACCCAGAAATAAGGAGAAATTTTCTGACAATGAGAACAATCAACCAATGGAACAGCTTGCCTTCAGAAGTTGTGGGAGCTTCATCACTGGAGGTTTTCAAGAAGAGATTGGCCGGCCATTTGTCAGAAATGGTGTAGAAGACCTCCAAGATCCCTTCCAACTCTGTTAATCTGTTAATCTGTTCATAGAAGAATGCCTTCCTTCTCTTAGCACGTTGCATGATACATCATTATACATGAGCATTTCAGTTCTTACCTTTTCTTAATATTTTCTAAGCTAATTAAGTCATAAGGATATTCTTGAACAGCAGTTTGACCTTGAGGTAGAATTGCAGATAACAGCCTGGGAGACCTTTGGGGACAGATATCCATTGCTCCTTTTGAAAAAGTTGGGGTTAATCCGGTTTCTCCTCTCTAATAAAGGGGATGGAAAAGAGTGAAAGCATCTAAGAAATAATTCTTGCTTCTTCGTGTCTATTTTCATTTGGTATCTTCTGTATCACATATAGATACTTCATTTTGATAATTATTCATATATTATTTAAAAAGTAATTTTAGTGTTACACCAAAATAAAAAAATGTGTTTTTCAGTTCAGGTGAATTTACATTTTAAAAAGTATAGGTTGGACTAAAACAACAGAAGCCTGTGTTCAAGAACAATCTATGTTCTAGAGCCACAATGGTGCAGTGGTTAGAATGCAGTACTGCAGGCTACCTCTGCTGACTGCTGGCTGCCTGCAATTTGGCAGATCGAATCTCACCAGGCTAAGGTTGACTCAGCCTTCCATCCTTCCATGGTTGGTAAAATGAGGACCCAGATTGTTGGAGGCAATATGCTGACTCTAAAAACCGCTTAGAGAGGGCTGTAAAGCACTGTGAAGCAGTCTAAGTGCTATTGCTATGCCATGAAGTTTCAAGGAGTACCGTTAGGGTCAGTCACTGTAACACTGACTATTCTACGGATTCATTGTTCGGGGGAAAAAATTGTAGGAGAGAGTGCAATGCAGGTTGCCTTGAATTCCTTGAGGAAAGTCAAGGTATAACAACAAAGGTATGCAAGCCTGCATAGCTATAGTCAAGACAGAGATGTGGCTTTTCCATTTGCAGAAGCAATGTGCCTTGGAATCCCAATTATATGAAATTACAGACAAGGGCTCTCTCTCGCTCTCTCTCCTCTTTAAGATTTATTTCAGGTCCTTTAGATGCTTTTTGTTGCTCTCTAATAGAATGCAGGATGCAGAAGCAAACCCCCCACCTATATACAGGTAGTCCTCAACTTACAACCACAGCTGAGCCAAAAAATTATGTTGCTAAGTGAAACATTTGTTAAGCGAGTTCTGCCCCACTTTATGATCTTTCTTGCCACAGTTGTTAAGTGAATCATTGCAGTTGTTAAGTTAGTAATATGGTTGTTAATCTGGCTTCCCCATTGACTTTGCTTATCAGAAGGTCATAAAAACTGATAACATGATCTCAGGACACTGCAACCGTCATAAATACGAACCAGTTGCCAAGCGTCTGAATTTTGATCACATGACTTGGGGGAACACTGCAATGGTCACAAGTGTGAAAAATGGTCATAAGTCACTTTTTTCAGTGCCATTGTAAAGTAAAATAGTGATACCTAGTGGTTACCCATATTTTTGCAGTCTAGATATGGTACAGGTAGTCATTGATTTACAACTAATCACCTAGCAACCGTTTAAAGTTCAAAGAGATTCAAAGTTCTGATGGCTATTTCCTACCCCCGTTACATGACTTCATTTTGGGCACTGAGTAACTGGCCTGCACTTACAGCAGTTCCCTCAGTCATGTGACCACAGTTAATGTCATTTTTTTTTTTCAGAAACCAAGGATTACTTCCAGTTTCTGGCAAAAAAAAAATACCCCATAGAGAACAATGGGTTCACTTAACAACTCTGGTGTTCTGCTACAACCATTACAATAAAAGCTGTAAAATCAGGCATGGTCATATGGTGGCCCACTTAATGACTGCCATGACTTACAACCAAAATTGTTGGTGTCAGTTACGGTCATAGGTCGAGGACTGTATTCCAACACTCCATTATATAGCTAAGCAGACTACGCTGATTATGACTCTTACTCGCAAGCCCAGCCTTTCAATCATACAGTCTTTCCTTCAATGCTTCTTATATCGGTAAGACAGACCCCTTTACTTTTGCCAAGGTTTAATGTAACAAGCAATACCTGATAACATGGAAATGCTATTTTTGGCATGCAGGATTTCGGCCTGAGTGGTAGCAGGGACACCATCTGTGGGAAAGGATCCACGTCAATTCGTGGTTTCTGTTGCCGAGCGTGCCAGATTTTCAGCTTGGTAACTGTGGCCTGAATGGTAGCTTTATGAGTTACACAAAATCGGGGACCCCTGAGAAGAAAAAGACTCGTTATGGCTAGATCTTGAATTTTATTTATGCTATTAGTCTGTTCTCTTATTCAGTTCCCTAGATTATTAAAGGGTAGACTTCAGTCTGTGACCCCAAACCTCTTGAGCACGGGTGTCAATCCCAATCACATCACAGGCTGTATCATGACATATCAGGTTTTTTTTTTTTTACACTTGAGGGGCCAGAGTGGGCGTGACCTGTGCGGGCCACATCCGGTCCGTCAGCCGCTTATTTGACACGAGCCACAGACAAAACTCTTGAAACTCTTTTTTTTTTTGTAGTGGTGGAAGCATTTGGAGGTTGTAAGTTGAATGGTAGAACAAATGGTTTAAACTTTGAAAAGGTTTCAGTCTCGATTTTTAAAATTCCACCACTAAAATGTACAAAAGGGAGTCTGAAATTTTCAGTGCATCTTAGTCTGGGACATCATTGTTGTCACTAGCAACACCCCTGCAGCTTCATATACTGTAGGACACAGAAAACAAAGGTTAGATTTCTTTTCTCTTGATGTGTAATAGTTTGATTAGAATAATTGATTCCTAACTGTCAGGCACAGAAAATACTCCAGTCTTCCCCAAACGAGCTGCTAGAATCACTGATCTGCATTAACTCAGATATAAATTTATTATTCTATATAGAGAATAATTTCCTGCCTAAGCAAGGGGTTGGACTAGAAGACCTCGAAGGTCCTTTCCAACTCTGTTATTTTAAGATCATCCCAGTTTACCCCAACGATGCCCTTGAAGTGATGTCCCAGTGCCTGGAGGCTGTGCGGATCTGGATGGGGAGGAACAGGCTCAAGCTCAACCCTTCCAAGACTGAGTGGCTGTGGCTCCCGGCATCCCGATATAGTCAGTTGACTCCATCGCTGACTATTGGGGGCGAGTCTTTGGCCCCCACAGAAAGGGCTCGCAATCTGGGAGTCCTCCTGGATATGCAGCTGTCCTTGGAAGAACATCTGACGGCTGTAACCAGGGGGACCTTTTGTCAGGTTCGCCTGATTCGCCAGTTGCGACCCTTTCTTGATCAGGATTCCCTGTGCACAGTCACTCACGCCCTCGTCACCTCTCGCCTTGACTACTGCAACGCTCTCTACATGGGGCTCCCCTTGAAGAGCACCCAGAGGCTCCAACTGGTCCAGAACGCAGCAGCACGGGTAGTGACGGGAGCAGCATGGCACTCCCATGTAACACCGCTCCTGCGCGAGCTGCACTGGCTCCCGGTGGTCTTCCGGGTGCGCTTCAAGGTGTTGGTCATCACCTTTAAAGCGCTCCATGGCATAGGGCCTAGCTATCTTCGAGACCGCCTGCTGCTACCGACGACCTCCCATTGACCCGTGCGCTCCCACAGAGAGGGCCTCCTCAGGGTGCCATCAGCCAAACAATGTAGGCTGGTGACCCCCAGGGGGAGGGCCTTCTCTGTGGGGGCACCTACCCTCTGGAATCAGTTGCCCCCAGAGATAAGGAGAATCCAAGACCTCAGTGCCTTCCGCCGTGCCCTTAAAACCCACTTTTTCCAGCAAACCGGGCTGGCTTAAGAAGAAATTTTTAAATATTTTAATTGGTTTGTGATTTTTAATTTTTGGGCCAAATTTATATATATATTAATTGTTTTTTAATATTTGTATTTCATGTTCTTAATTCTGGCTGTACACCGCCCTGAGTCCTCAGGGAGAAGGGCGGTATATAAATTGGAAATAAACTAAACTAAACTAAACTTTACAGCTCTTGGACTGCGAAAATGCAACCGAACCTGATTTGTGGCTATATTTTACAGCGAGATATAATTAATTAATTATAGAATTCTGGTAAGAAGCAAATTAGATGCTCCAAGCCTGAAGCCTGAGCACTCTATATATCAGAAGTAATATCTTCAGTGACGCTTGGAAAATAATGGACAGGCAATATCACTATCTCAAAAAAAAAAAAAAAAATGCACGAATACCCTTGGGCAAGTCATCCTACTCCCAACTGAATAGCTGCATTTGCATTAGCTGAATGGACAAATGACATTGCTAAACTGGAAAAAGTGCATTATGAGATGCAAACATGCAATTTATGCAGGTGATTCAATTACATGATTTACAAAGATCGGTGATCTCTGAGTTTGGTTGTTTTTTTTGCAGCTATTTCATTATTCTACCAGATAACATCATCAGTACAGATGATTTAATCCACTTGGGTAATGAAATGACTGCAAGAAAACAACCAAGCTCAGAGACCACCAAGGACCCTATAATTCAACCCTGAGCTATATATATTTTTTTCTAATGATATATGATCTACTTCCATAAGGAAAGCCAGAATTCAATACTGTTACGAACAGGTCATAACAATCATACAAATCTCTTTTAATCATGATGGTTTTTATGTGATCATATACACATTGTCTTTAGAAATGTTTAATTAAAGTACACCTGCTCCTAATTGATTTTGCCTGAATCATTTTCCTTTGCCTGTATCAGTTAAACTTCCACTATAATGAATAGATTCTATATCTCATCATAAAGTATTATCCACTTCTGGCCAGAATTAAGTGGTCCGTTTAGGAACAAATGGTTTGCAGAACAAATGGTTTGCAGAGTATAATTTCAACTCTTATACCAGTGATGGCTAACCTTTTTGCCATCGCGTGCCAGAAGCAGGGGGGGGGAGTGCGGGGTGGTCGCGCACATGCTTGCCCACACCCATAATTCTATGCATCCTCCCGCCCCCACACTCATGCATGTGCAACACCCCCCCGTGCTCCTCCCGTTTTTGGCATGTGATGGCATGGTGGACCCAGTAGGCCAGTTTTTTGCCCTCCCCAGGCTCCAGAGGCTTTCTAGGAGCCTGGGGAGGGTGAAAACAGCCTTCCCCACCCCCTCTGGAGACCCTCTGGAGACCAAAAACAGCCCATTTGCCGGTTTCCGATGGGCCCAGAAGGCCCGAAAATCAGCTGGCCAGCGCATGCATGTGTGCTGGAGCTGAGCTAGGGCAACGCTCGCATGCCCACCAATATGGCTCTGCGTGCCACCTGTGGCACACGTGCCCTAGGTTCGCCATCATGGTCCAATACCATCCAATCACAACAGCTCCAGTGTTCAGAAAAAGCAATCTAATTTAATAAATGTACCAATATTTCATCCTTTTACCAGTAAAGCAGCAAAGGTTTCACCACTTCAGACTGGATGCCCTTTAAATTATACACATTCCATTGATCGCCATCCACCAGGTTGAGCTTGAACAGAACTTCAAAAGTCAGGTAATAATCTCCATTGCTTGCCAGGTATAATTTTTTCATCCGATCAAGCTGTCTTGAATCAAGGAAAATATTAACATAATATATGCACAGATAAACACTGGGAAATAATTCAGAAAAAGACATCCAACTCTAAAGCTCTTTTACATTTTAAATGGAATTCCATCTTTCTTCACAAAATAAGGGCCAGGGTTTAGAACATATAGCCACAATAACCTTCTTATCCTGGTGCTTTCCAAAAAGCTGAGTTGGAATTATCATCAACTACAGGTAGTCCTCGACTTGCAACAGTTCATTTACTGATCCTTTAAAGTTACAAGGGCACTGAAAAAATGTGATTTATGAACCGTTTTTCACAGTTACCACATTTGCAGCACCTCCATGCTCGTATGATCAAAATTCAGATGCTTGGCAACTGGCTCATATTTATGACTGTTGCTTTGTCCCAAGGTTATGTGATCACCTTTTGCAAGCAAAGTCAATGCGGAAGCCAGATTTATTTAACAACTGGGTTACTAATTTATCAACGGCAGTGGTTCACTTAACAACTGTGGCAAGAAAGGCTGTAAAATTGGGCAAAACTCAACAAATGTCTCACTTAACAACAGAAATTTTGGGCTCAATTGTGGTCATAAATCGAGGATTACCTGTATATCCAACATGAAAAGAGGAAAGTAGGTCCAATACATTTCAAGTTCACTAGTTTGGGGGATACTACCTTACTCCTTAGTTACTAAAATATCAAATAAGATGTATTCTGGGAGAAATCTTACATGGTTTATAACCAGCTTGATACTTAAGAATATCATCCGTCTTCATATTTCTCCTGCTTTTTCTGTTTCTAGGTTGTCCTTAATTTATGATTATAATTGGAACCAGAAATTCCATTGGTAAGCAAGGCAGTAAAGTGAATTGTGCCTGATTTTACATGCTTTTTTGTCACAAATATGGGAAACTAATTTGCGGTGGTTATGGGAAATGAACTTGTCAGAAGGAAGATCTGACAAATAAACATAAACCAAAATGAAAACAGCAACTAAACTCATCCAATATCTTCATCTCCGAAGGCTCATTTTATATTAAAATCTGGAAATACCTTTTCTGCCTTTTAAAACTCTTCAGGACCTTCAGTCGTTCAATATCTATCCATAGCCACCAGTATTTTTCTCCCAAAGTTCCTCTGATGAATTTTTTAAATCTTTCAAATTCATGTCTGCTACCAATGTCATACGTCTTGTGGCTCACACACCAAGCAGCTCTGGTTTCAGTATTATCCTTTTCTGATTTTGCAGAAATGTCACTCTTCACATCTATTCCATCAACCGTTCCATCAGCAAAAGACTTTTCAAAGCCTGACTCTATGGACTTTTCACTGCTTGCTAACTCATATATAAAAACTCTAGTTGTTTTACTGAAATTGATGTCAAAGGGACTGTATTCAGGTGGCTGGCCAGTGACTACTGCAACAGAGTTTTTTAGTACATATTTAACAAAGGCGAAAGAAAACTCATCCATAGTGTGAAAAGATGCCAATTCTTGATATTGCATAAGGTCTTCACTCTTTCCCTCCTGAGGAGGGAGTCTAAGTTCCCAGTCTTGTCCTAAGTATGCTCTTAATAATGTCTGTGAAGGAGTATCAGGAAGTGACAAAGAATAACCTTCATCTATGCTTCTTCTGGCTTCTATCTTTTGAACAAGTGGGACATCAGTTAAATTGGGCTTCTTCTTAATTCTGGATTCAGAACCTGCATGAAAATTACAGATCAACCCTCCAAAGACCACCAACATACTAACATAATCATTAATTCAAATATGTAAAAATTGTTCTATCTCACTATCCAGAAATGGCTTCTTTTCTCAAACATTTCTGTAAGTCAGAATCTAACTTTTGAGTTGATATTATTTTACAAAAAAAAAGTTAAGAACTGCCCCAAGTCACCATGATTTGTCTCCTATCACATATGTCTGAATTTATTTTTCAGCCTGAATGTGAAACAAAAGAACGTCTAGAGGTATGCAAAAAAAAAATTAAGGCAGAAAGTGGGGGCAATATTTTCTCCCAGAAGAAATTATTATATTCCAGAGTTTCTCCAAGAGTTCCAGGCCAGGCAATTCAGCTGAGTCAAAACCTGGACAGCTTTTATTGATATACTATTTAGACAAAACAAAGTCTAGATGGGTTCAGTAGGAGGTGAGTTTTTTCCACTATTCTCCAAGCAAATCCACCACAACATATCGGTAATATTTTGGTGTTCTTCCTGCCCACAGTTTTATTTATTTATTTTTATTAATATATCAAACTTCTTAACCCCCCATTTCCTTTGTACAGGGGCTCTTTCCCACAATCTTTCCAGCAGTTTCCCATCCACACACGTCTCAGCTGCTGTTGATGTCAAAGCCTGGCATATTCCACCAACTAACCAACCAACTAACTAACCAACCAAGTGGTGTGTTGCCCTCCTGGTTCGCACCAGTTCTATAGAACCGGTAGTAAAACCGGCAGGAGCTTCCACCCACCGACTCCAACGTCATCAAAATGCTTCTGCGCATGCGCAGAAAAGCGTGCACATGGCCCCGTTGCGAACCAGTAGTAAAGGTAAGTAGAACCCACCCCTGCAACCCACCCACCAACCAACCAACCAACCAACCAACCCATATCCCCAATATCTCCCCTCTATCTCCCTCCTCTGCTAATATCCTTAGGTTTGTCATCACTTATCCTGCATAACATTTTGCCTGGAACGTAACAGTCCCTTTTCATTCTGCACACAGGAAAAAAATACTATTTTGCACACCCATAGGTACTAAAACACCCAAATGTGACATACTATGTTAGTTTGAAGCCAGTGCTTCTGTGTGGACACAAGATGCCATCTTATTTATTTTATGCTCCTCTTGCATATTTACCAAAAATCACGCGGCCCATAAATATAAATAAATGTCTTAAATTTGTAACACCGTATATCTTCTCAAAGGAAATAATCATGTTTTTAAAAAAACCTCCATTTTAAGCCTCTTGCACTTCATTTTTTCAATTCTGTATTTATATTAGAGTTGCAAGATTTTCCCATCACATTACTCCTGAATAAATGCAATGAAAGGGCCTTTGGGATATATGTTCCTTAGTGATTGATTAAAAAACACCATGTAAAGAAAGGCAGGGCATTAATATAGATGTGCTCGGGTACTTTGTAAGTGAATATAAGAATGCAAAAATACCACTTCCCTAATTTTTTCAGAGCAAGTACAATAAAAAGCAGGATTTTTCTGCCATGAATTTATAAACCAAGAATAATGAAGCCAACATTATTGCATCTGCCCAGCATTCCAAATCAAACTATTAAAATCTGGTTGCAAAATAGATAAATTTTGGTGGCACTCCTTCTTAACTTTTTAAAATTCAAAACTGTGATTAAGAATGAGAAAGATGTTTTTTCTCCCTGAAGTCTCCTGGTTCCAGGCCCAACCTCAGCCCTCCTCCAACTTCAAAATGACTGTAGTCAGCACAATTTTAGTTTATTTTTGGTATTTCTTTTGCCATTCAAGAATGGGAACAAGTGACCTCTGAGAAGCAAACCATTGGTCTTGCAGCCCATCAACACATCTCCAAAATTCCCTCTCCCCAATTGTTATCTCAGTGACATCTGTTGCTCCATAGGAGAGGATTTAAAGCTGGCAAATTGTCTCTAGAAACATCTTGTTCCCATTTCCAATTTTATGTTGTAATTAATAACAATAAAGGGCAAAATCAGTTGGCTCTGTCTTCTCAGTGACATGCTTGGTGTGGTCCTTTGGAGCCTTGCAAGACTAAACTTTTCCTTGATGCCTCAAATTTTGTTCTTTCCTGCTATAAATGCAACTTGCCCACAAATATTACTTACCTAAGTGACCACTGTAAGTAGAAGCATTAATAATGGATGAAGAAGAGTTACTCAGTTCTTGGGACTTTATATCTGAAGATAAATGTACAATATAACATTGTTAGGAAAGAATTGGGAAGAAGAGGACAAAAGCTGGGTAGGAGAAGGAAATATATCCATTACAGGGGGGAGGGGCTGGATAAGATCATCCAAAACCATGGGGTGAGGTACTATCAACATGCAGAACATATCCAACTTTACATCTCCATCCCTGGTGATCCAAGTAATGCTATAGCTTCCCTCTCATGATGCCTGGAGACTGGAGGGGTTTGGATGGGGGACAACAGGCTTTAGCTGAACCCTAGTGAGATAGAGAGGCTGTGAATTCAAGGGGCCTCGGGATTTGGGGGTTTATCAGCCTTAGTTCTGGATGAGGTTGCACTACCTCAGACAGATCCAATATGCAATCTGGAGGTTCTCCTGGACTCACAAATCCTGTTCAGAGCATATGGCAGTCGGGGCTAAGAGAGCCTTTGTGCAACTTCGTGTTGTGTGCCAATTACACCCTTTCATGAGACCCTGTGCATAGTCACTCATGCCCTGGTCATCTCCCAGTTGGATTACTGCAACACGCTATGCATGGGGCTACTCTTGTAGAATATTCATAAACTACAACTGGTACAGAATACAGCAGCACAGACGGTTCTATAGACCTCTCGGGTGGTACATATGACACCACTGAGATGCGAGCTGCACTGGTTGCCAGTTTGCTTTCAGGTCTAGGTCCAGGTCCAGATCCAGGTGATTGTTACCTTTAGCCCTTTATGGCATGGGCCCAAGGTATCCGAGGAATCACCTTACCCTGTTGGGATTAATCCACCTTATTCATTTCAGTGGAAAGGGCCTACTTTGGATCCCATCAGTCAAAGAATTTCAGCTGGTGAGGTCCAGGAGAAGAGCCTTTTCTGCTGTGGTCTCCATACTATGGAATGTTCTCCCATCAGAGGTGATATCTGACCCCACACTTCTGGCTTTTTGGAAGAGCCTAAACATTTGGCTCTGCTGTTTGACCTGGGATTCGAACGAGGGCACACTACATTGGGGGTGGCTGCCCATCATCTTTGCTTTTTAATTTTAATTTTTTATTGTATTGTAATTGGTTTTTGCACTTTTTAATCCATATTATATTGTAAGCTGCCCAAAGTCACTGTATTAGAGAGAATAAATAAATAAAAGAAATAAATAGATCGTTGTTGCAATAAGCTATATTTTCTAAACTACTTCCATATTGCTGCCTCCAAATTATATAAAAGAGTCTGTAAAGATGAAATCATCAGCACAAGCTCATCTCAAAAAAGGCTTTATCTCTATATGTTTATTAAATCATTAGTGTAATTTATTCATTTATTTAAAGCATTTGTATAGCCACTTATCTTAAAACCAACTATGGGTAGCTTACAGCTAACAAAATAATATATATGCTCATAAAACAAACCATGATAAAACTTAAAAAAAACAAACAGAAAGCCTGATGCTACATCACATTTCCCTGTTGCTATCTGCATTCTCATCTCACCCTGTCTTCATTCTATCCCTACTGGCTTGTTACCATGGAGGTTTCTCAAATAAGATCTACACAACAACTACGTCATTCAGTATATAAACAATTACTACATTACGGCCTTCTTCCTATATTAAGGTTCTCCATTAAGTAACCTTGAGGCTCCAGAGAAATAATAATTGTGATTAAGCAGTATTTAGCTCACTTGTCCCTAAAAATTCATGAAAGTCGATCAACACAATTAGAAGTTTTGCAAAGCAGTGAAAAGGAGAAAGGGAATAGGTTGAAGGACTCAGAAGAAAAATAATGTAAGTTTTTATAAAAAGATGAAATAGAACAAGTTGGGAAAAAAAAAACCATTGACAGACTGGTTGATTGATTTAGTTTGTAAGGCTGCCCAATTGTTCCTCCATCCATGTCTACTACCCTCACATATAATTTCCAATGGTTAATATTACCTTCATGTGTAGACCATGACTTTGAAGTATCAACTGAAAAATGAACACGAGAAGATGTCACAGGACGGGTCATAGAATCAGTAATGATCATGTTCTGACTTTGCTTGGCTAGAGTAAACCAATCCTGTGTCTGAGTAACAGTAGCCTATTAAATAAAACATATGGTGGTTTAAGTTACTTATAAATTAAGCGGAGAAGACAAGTGGTGGAGAAATGTTAAGTCTATATATCTGAGATGTCCCAATTCAAAGGAATATGTGACATAAGGTAAAGAAATCATTTAAGCACACTATATCCCAATCAAGTCAAATAAAAATAAATACAATAAATAGTTACCAATTAATACTATTTATGCCGTGGTTTCTATCAGGCAAAACTGATACATCTACTGCTTATTATCAGTATAAATGTTTTAATTAATTTTATTAATCTTTATCTCATTTCTTATGCACACTATAAACTGATATTCAACCCAAAAGCTTTACTGTAGTCAGAAAGAAGGCTGATACTGTTTTTTCCTCCAGGACTATCTGATCTAATTGGTAAATGTCCTTTTTGTGTAGTTATTGAACTGTCCAGGGTCCAAGCAAAAGAAAAAAGTGTTATTTGTTTCATAACAGTGTAAAAACCAGTTGACTTTGGAGTTATTGCAGAAATGAACTTGTCTTTTATTGCAGAACACAGTCCCTTCTGGATGGTCTTTTGGGGACTATATTCCATGGTTGGAGAACCTACAGTTTTTAGTGAATGGGACAAAAGGGACAGTTGTGCTGGTCCATCACATTCTTTATGCTCTCCCTTCTTCACACGTCCCCTTTTTCTTCCCCTCTTCTTCTAGATGTGTTTAAGTTAGAAAAGAGATTCAGCTTTTGCAATAACCGTTTACACAACAAGGGAATGACCCAGTGCCCCAAATGGTAAAAGAGGAAGTAAAGAAGAAGAAGACAGGGAAAAGAAGGTCTTCCTTTGATCCCCAAATCCCTTCCTTATAATATCCTTCTGCCATGAAAATTTAAACTTTTTTTCAAAGTTTGTCATGTAGAGTTGAGGAAGGCAGGCTGCAGTACACTTGTAGTTCCTCTAAGTTTTCTACTTTAGTATAGTGTGCTAGACTGAGGAAAGCTGCATTCAAAACCCTATTCAGCTAGGAAATCCCCAGGTAAGGATAGGTCAGTCATTCCCTCTCATCTTAACACATTTTTAGGGTAGTAACATGAATAAAATAAACAGCAGGCATCAACAATTAGTGAGAAAATGGGAATATTAAGAAGGATACCTTCATATTCCATGCCCGTTTACATTTAATATTTTATTTGCTGCTCTGCAATCTGAGACGAAAGCAACACACATTAAAACATACACAGCAATGAAAATGTATGCTTAAAAATGACATAAAACCAAGTCAGCCAAATCCAAGAAGGCACCAGTCCACTATAAGAAACTTACAGGCAGACAGAACTTTTGCTGCTGCCCTTGGAACATCCGAACATTGATCACTTAAAAGAAAATACTGATCTCCACATATGATGAGGAAAATTAATAATTTGGGGTTATAAATTCTGATAATGAATGTGGATGAAAGTGGGCATTTTAGTAAGACATAAGAAACAGAATCAATCACTGTGTCTGAACATGTACAGGTATGATTTTCATATGGGAGAATAATATCTTCCAGTTGTCACCCTGATAGGTAACACATCAACTTGAACCAGAGGGGGAAAAACCCTCCCACTCTTACTTTATTCTTCACACGATACTCTTATTTACAACACTCGATGTATTTTACCTTGCCAAGAGAAACGTAGAACCTTTTCATAATCAAATCATCTTCTTTGTCCTCAGGGCTTTCTATGGTGGGTGGACCTTTTGAGAACCAAGGATAATACGTTTTGTCTATAACAAAACTGATCCCAGTTTTGCTCCATTCCACTTGTGAAATAAGTTTAGCTAATCTACAAAGAAGTGACAAATAGCATAAAGTAATTTAAGGTTACTCAGATAATATTAACATCAACAAAACTACTGTTCTTTTAAAGAAACCAAGCTCAAAGACATTATCTTAATTCAATATGATATAATAAATATAATATAATAAATATAATATAATATAATAAATATAATATAATATAATATAATATAATATAATATAATATAATATAATTTTAATCCTATTCAGAGTTTTAAATGTTTTGAAGAGTATCAGCAGCCTTCAGATCAAGTTCATCTAGAAATTTGTCAAGAAAGTCTTGGGGAAAGTTTTATAAGCACTCTTAGTTAATTTGTTTTAATGCAGACAAGAAAGAATTCCTGTATTTACTCATAAGATCCCTCTGGCACAGAACATAGAAATCTATTCCATCCAGAGGTGGGATTCACTTACCTTGCCTACCGGTTCGCAACTGTGAGCATGTGCGCCTTGTGTACATGCACAGTGCTCACGCATTACGTCCAGGCGGGTGGGTGGAGCCTCCCACAGTTACTGCTACTGGCTCGCCTGATCCGGAGAGAACTGGCTGAATCCCACCACTGATTCCATCCTATATACAGGTAGCCCTCAACTTACAAGCCCAAAATTTCTGTTGCTAAGTGTCAGAAGGTCGCAAAAGATTATCACCAACCCCAGCACACTAGAACTGTTATAAATATGAACCAATTGCCAAACATCTGAATTTTGATCACAGGATCCTGTGACCATGGGAGAGCCGAGTGTGAAAAACAGTCATCTCACTTATTTTAGTAATGTTGTAACTCTGAACAGTCACTAAACGAAAGGTTGTACATTGAGAACTACCTGTACAGTATACGTTTAGTTCCAACATTTAAATCAAGCCTTTCCCTTTTTCAGGTTGATGGATTCTTTGCCATTCTTTTTCAGATCTTGTCAAATTGTAATGCACTTGCTCAATATTTTCCCTCTCTCCCTCTCTCTCTCCTTCCCTCCCCCATCTCCCTCCCCCTTCCCCCAGCTGCACTGGATCCTAATCAGCTTTACCATTTAAAGCTAGTCCATACTGCTAGGGTGATTATTGCTAGGGTGCAGCCCAGGGGTGGGTTCTACCTACCTTTACTACCGGTTCGCAACAGGGCCGCACCCGCGCACTCGCTTCGCTCACATGTGCGCTCTTCTACACTTGCGCAGAAGCTTCTGCGCATGCGCAGAAGCATTCTGATGACGTCAGGGTTGGTGGGCAGAGCCTCCCGCCGGTTTTACTACCGGTTCTATAGAACTGGTCCGAACCAGGGACAACCCACCACTGGTGCAGCCTGGAGACACTATATTTAATTGATCCATGATTGCAAAGTAATTATGGTTCTTAGTTTTTCTGAATCTCACATGGTGTCACAGCTAAATCACTCATTTTTCAAAAAATGATTGACTCATTTACCTTTATCTCCTTACAGTTAGTTCTATTTTTCACTATTTTGGATTTTCAATGATGCCAGCAGAAAAACATTTGTTTTTTCCAGAGGTGAAAATGCCTCATGACATTGTTTCTGATGGCTGAAGAAATAGTTTTAGGGCAGAGGTATCAAACTCGCGTCATCATGGTGGTGTCATGTGAAGTATTGCGACTTTTTTCCCCTTTTCTAAACTGGGCGAGGGCGTGACCAGCGCATGACACATCCGGCCTGTGGGCCGCGAGTTTGACAGCCCTCCTTTAGGGCAGTGGGTAATGCCTTAGCTTCAGGGCATTGCTTCCTATGCCTCGAACATATTACACTTGAGTTGTAGAACAATTTAACAAGCAGATATGTAAACATCCTTAAAATTCATCCAGTTGTGAATTTTTCAATCCCTAATTAACAACAACATGACTTTGTGAGCAAAAAGTTTCCTATTGCTTTTATTTCTGGTACAAAATCTCTAACCTAAATCCCTAACCTTCCTTGCCTTAACCAGGACTAAAGTTAATCAGGCTAAGTCTTAAATACTGTAGTATGAACAATTTGGATTTGAAGCTAACTTCTCCACTGGTTCTCATTTACAACTGCTTTAATTAAACATGATAAAGATTAACCCTAGAATATAGAGTATAGAATCATGGGGCTGGAAGGGACCAGCCTAGTCTAATCCACTTCTTGAGGTAAGAGACCTTATAACAGGGGTGTCAAACTGGATTTCTTAGAGGGTCAGATCAGCACTGTAGTTCTCTTTTGGGGGGGGGGGAAATGGGACAGCTGCCTCCTACAGCACCCTGCCATCCAAAATGAGACATGGGGGTTCGTGTGCAGCCCCCCGCGCCTCGTTTTTGCCCTCCATGGCCTCCTGCAGCACTCTGCCAGCCAAAAACTGGCCCCGTGTGGGCTGTTTTCAGGGCCATATTTGGGCCGTTTTCAGCTGGCAGAATGGTGCAGGAGGCCATGGAGGGTGAAAACGAGGCACGGGGGGGACGCAAGCAACCCATTTTAGCCGCCAGAGGCACCACAGACCAGTCCTTTGATTTTCCAGGCCAGCCCCACAGGCTGGATTTAAGCACCCTGCAGGCCTTGAGTTATACCCTGCCTTATAACCTCCCAGTCAAATAGTTGTCTAATTATTTTTGAAAACCTCCAGTGATGGAGCTCCCACAACTCTGGGAGGTAAACTATTCCACTCATTGTTATCATTCTCAGAAAATTTCTCCTTACTTCTAGGTAGGATCTCTCTTTAAAAAGCTTCCACTCATAACTTCTTGTTCTGCCCTCTGGTGCTTTGGAGAATAAGTCAGTCTCTCTCCTCTGTACAATCTCTCATGTATTGGAAGACAATTATGTCCCTTAACCCCTCTCTCTTCGATTGGCTAGACATACCTAGCTCCCTCAACTATTCATTATACAATTTAGTCTCTGGAACCTTTATCATTATTGCTGCTTACTTTCTAGAATCTTAGCATCATTTTTGTTTCGTGGTGACCAAAACTGTATGCAGTATTCCAAGCGTGGTCTCATTAGTGCGATATAAAGCAGCATTATCACTTTTCGTGATCTTGATGTTATCTCTCGGTTGATGCAGCCTACGACTGCACTGTCTTTTTTGGTAGCTGCAGCACACTGCTGGTTCATATTAAGTGGTGCTTCACTTAAGAACTCCCTAGATCCCTCTCGCTGTTACTGCTATTGAGCCAAGTACCACCTATTCTGTAGCTATGCATTTGGTTTGTCCTGCCTAAGTGCAGGACTTTACTTTTCTCATCACTGAACTGCATCTTTTATGTGTGGGCGGGTTGACGACACAACATTTTCCCTGTAACAGAAGGATTATATTATGTCTTCCTTAAATGCTGCCAATATTTGAATTTTTAAGAATAGCAGATAGATTGATACACTTACCAAATTAGGTAAAAAAAACCAGAAAAATGAGATATAATGCAAGAAAATTTTAAATTAATCAAAGTAGTACTTAAATATAGACAATGACTTTTGGCCATACATGATTGCTTGTGAAGGCTATAAAAATAAGGTTAGTTTCATTGCTATTATTCTCATAAGCCATTAAAATTATATATGTGTGGCCAAAACAATCCAGTTTTTGTTGTTGTTTTTGAGAGAAACTTGCAGTTTTAAAACTTAGATTCTAATTAGAAGTCAAAATACCTGTATTCAAAGTAGCAATCACTCTCTAAAAATGCTGGAAATCTATTCTTTTTTATCCATTCAATAGCTTGTTCTCGGTTCAGACTCTAACAAAAGAAAATATATTCTTTAAATTTTATTTGCTGTATTATTAACAAACAGGATGGCATAATCCAACAATTTCCAAATATTTTATAGGAGCTCAGTAGAGCCTAGAAACATACACACAAGTTATTTCATTACCCAACTACGTAACATCATCAGTGCTACTTCTATCAAGCTGTGTTTTATTGGAGGTTTGTATCTGAAACTGGTGGGCAGAACGTGTTGTTGTAGGCATTCCTGCAGAAAAAAATACTTATTCTTTGGCTGAGGCTTGCCTAAATGCAAATTTATCCCGTTTGTATGCTGTCTGAAGCATTTGATACCCATGTGTCTGCCTATTGAAGAGAATATTTGTAGCTTGGCGCTCTCGAGCTTGGTTGTTTTCTTGCTGATGTTTCCCAATTAAGGAAAATCATTAGTGTAACATCATCAGTAGTACTGATGATGTTCCTTAGTTGGGTAATGAAATGTCTGCAAGAAAACAACCAAGATCAGAGTGCATCAAGAATCCCATAAAAAGAAAAATTGTTTGTCAGGATTCATTCCCTATGCAAAACACTGCTCCCCAAACAAAGGATGAAATCTGAAAAAAGACGTATTTCTTAGAATTCGTTTTTATGGAATTGTACTAAAATGATATCCTCTGGCATCCTGTGACATAAACATTCTGATACTGCCATAAAATGCATTTTGATAGAGTAGCATAAAATTGTTCCTTTCTTAGTAGAAGTTGCCTCTCCTCTTGTGGCTTACTAATAATGGTTTCTGGAAAGGCTGAACATGGCTTCTTTACTTTAGCCAGTATTTCTGGATGTAATCAAATAAATTTGTAATTATTTATGCTCAAAACAAATTCCATGCTTTTGTCTCCGTATCCATGAGAAAATAAGTCAGGCCAAAGTCATATTTCTCATATTAGTGGAAACAGCTTCCAAGATGTCAATTTTATAAAAGAAAACTATATTGAATCCTATATTGCATTCATTATTCTTCATTTAGGATTCCGCTATAAATATTTTTGTTGTTATAGTTCATTATTCCCAAACCTGGTGTTGTCAAATGTATTGCAATTACAGTTTTCAAAATTTCTAGCAATGATTTGACTAGATTAGCTGAGAATGCTGGGAACTGCAGATCCAAGACATCAGAAGCTGAAAAAGGTAGTGATAATTCTTTAGTTCAGTCTTGCTCAATATTGGTGCCTTTCAGAAGTGTAGATTTCAACTAGCAGAATTCCCCAGCCAGTATGCAGGCTGCAGAATTCTGGGAGTTGAAGTCCACACTTCTTAAAGCCAAGTTGAGAAACACTTGCTTAGATAGTGAAATTCATATATGTGTGAAGGTTTGAATGGAGGGAAGGAAAGTCATGATAAGTGGATTTGTTTTCTACTTCCATGCTTGAACACCTGCCCTCCTCCCCCCCCCGGCCACACACACATACTCTTTTGGCAATGATGTACAAAAGGTTTGGTTTCAGTTTTCAGTCTTCACATCATCCCATTTGGAGTTTGAAATGGCTCATGTCACTTATACATATTGGGTTCCCTAAATATTTTAAAAGTAATTCAAGATAGAATTCTAAATAGCTGAATTTAACTTTTTGCACACCGTTTATTAATGGCTTTCTCTCCACATGAGTGCAGGTTCTAAGGATGACAGGGTCTTTAAAAACAACATACAGTTAGATATGTATAGGACCAGACAATGTCATATATACAACAACAATATAGTGCAAATTATACAAAATATGTAATCTGCATCAAGGATATCACAATATATTACATCATCAAAGCTTACATCAGACGTTATGGGACACATTGTTGTGGCCCGCCAGTGGAGCTGGCAGCAGATTCGGACAGTGAGGAGGTTGGGGAGAAACATGAGCCAGTCCTGGAGTCTGGGGAAGGCTCTGATGAGAGCTCTGTGACGGAGGCAGAGAAGGGACCAGGGCCGGATGCCAGTTATCAGCTCCCTTCAGAGATAGACATCAGTGAGGCAGACGAACAGCTGGCACCTGTTCCCAGTGTGTGCATGCGCAGAGTTGCCAGACGAAGGGAACAGCTAAAGAACAAGAGTCAACTTAGGAGTAAGGCCACAGGTGGACAATGAATGGCCCCTCCCAGAGGGAATAAAAGAGAAAGGGGAGTGGAGTTTTCAGGAGACAATTAGTTCGTCTAATTGGTTTGTGACTCTCTGAGACTCTTTGCCAAGTTTTAAAGATATTGGCCTGGCAGCTCTCCAAGCCAGATAAGGTCTGTGACTGTAAATTCTCTCTCGAAAGACTTTGTTGAAGGTGAATGAGAGGAATTCACTGTTTGTTTAATAAAAGGGATTTTGTCGGGACCAGAATTCTGCTTCCTGCTTTTTGGGGAAGCCTAGGTCAGAACACATATATAAACTCAGACTTTCAGATTTACTCACAGAAGTCAGGATGGAAATGGGAGTGGATCCCTACCCACTGATATTCCATACAACTTTCTTACCAGGGTGAATATGAATGTGGATTAAGTTTTAATTACTCCTTTTGAAGGAGCTATACTTCTAGGAAAGTCAAAGCCTTTGAAACTCAGCAACTTTTTAATCACCAGGTATAATCAGAGGAATCATTGCAGGATCAAAAGATTTTAACATCAATCTGATCGATTAAACATGGAACCCCAATTAATATAGCAAGATTTCAGAGTTGGTTGTACATCATATTTCCACAATAATAATAACACCAATTTATTCTTACCATGGTTGAATAATTTGGATTAAAACTGAAGGCTGAGGAAGGGGGAGTTTTAATATCTTTAGAAAAAGAGGGTTGTATCTTTGTCTGCCTTGTAACATCATAAATGGGATTTCGAGGTTTCTGATCCCGAAGCATCTGTTTTAGCTGGTTTTCCATGCTTTGTGGGACATCACTAGCAACTTCAAAAATTCCAAAATCGGGATTAAATTGAATTGGTTCTGCAAATGTCTATAAACATGAAAAGTGAAAGATTAGGATTCAGAAATAGCACAGCACTGAAGGGATATAATCTAATCATGGATTTTATAAATAAAGTGATGGCCTGGAATTCTGCTTGTATTCCTCTTAAGATATCTTAAGCTTTAATTTTAGAGGGTTTCCCCCTCTTCACTATATTTTTATAGCCCTGGGCTTCGTTTTTCTAACTTTCTAGAACAGTGACTTCTGCCTATAAAAAAAATTAACATATCCGTTATTAATGTCATTTAGTAGAGGCATAGAGATATTCATGCATATTTACAGTTTATGTCCATTCAAGCTCCTACCACTTAATCCATTCTGCAGTAATTGATGTGGTCTGTCATAAAAAGAGGAAATATGACTGTAACCTTTTAGCATTCCTGGAGCTTACAGAAAATGTGCCGGTAAGTACATTTTAAAAACAGTTGTAACTTCCCCAACCGGTAGAATTTACCACTATCCTCTGAGCATTCAGAGCTGACCGACTACATTGTGCTGTCTGATGAGAGGAAAAAGCTCATAGATTCTTCTTGGCAAGAAATTAAAACAGTGATAAGAAGTAACTATCAATTTCCTGCCTTTTCCGGACTGCTTAAATTAGCTGCCTGAAGTAGCTCCTTCTTTCTTTGTTGAATTGGCCTTGAGATAACAAAGTTATTATTCATAAGTATCATAAATTTGTGATTGCTAACATTTCTTGGGGGAAAAAATATGCAATGTACTAATGTCAGGCCAAAGTTTCTGTTTTTATTTAATTTGGAGGGAATACAAATTAAAATAACAAAAAGAATAAACTTAATTCCAAATCATTGGAGATATGCTAGTTTATGAGAATATATGAACAAAGCATGTAAATTCTACAATCTGGAACTATTTTAACAGATGCTAGATAATTTTAGTTATGTATTATTTATATAGAAAACTAACCAAGGATAACATTAATTAATCACTTGTATCTATTTTTAATTTCAACTCTGGCAATGGAGCCCAAAGACCCATTTTCCAAAATGCATTCCAATTAATTAAATTGAAAACATCTGGATCTTCTAATGTAATAAAACAGATGCCAATAACAATGTTTTAAATATAAACTGTATTGTCATCTTGGATGCTTGACTACCAATCAATTATAATGTATATAAAGGGATGGAATGAAAGAACTAATAGTCTTCGCCAATAAGCCTAGGCCAAACTACTAAGTTAATCAAAGGCACATGTCTCAATCCAACAAGTGACTTCACTTTTCTGAACTGGATCCTACATATGCAAGGAAGCTCGGAGTATGGGAGGTGTCACATTTGACATCTCAGAGCTCTGAACATTTGCTGACCAGTTGAATCCAGTTCTTCCCCTTCAGTGCAGCTGAAGCAAACTGCAATCACCTGCCATCAACATGGGAAGATGGAGGGAAATCTTTGTTGGTAAAACCCACTCCTTATATACACAGACGTCATGCACGTGCATAAAATAAGCAATATATTATAAATGTGTATACAATAATCATGAGTTACCAACTGTCTTCTGATTTAATCAAACATGATCCCAGCACATATTTGCTAGAACACATATTGAAAGCTCTACAACATATGTTGTGATTAGGATTCATTCATTCCACTTCTAGATTGTTAAAAGGCAGAAGCAGTTTGCAAATTTGCAGGATGATTTCCAACATTGTAGTACATTAAAAACATTTCTTTTATTGAAATATTTTCTTGTAGTAAAGTGAACAATTAATAGCATCATATATTTGTTTTACTTTAACAATTTGCCCATATACCAATTTTTATGCCTGGGAACCAAATTGTAATCAGGTTTTCATTGGCATTTCCCTGAATAATTTCTATGATGAGCTGCAGCAAAATAAAACTGGACATATCAGACACTCCGTATCAAAGTTGAATAGAACAAACTGAGAAAAGCCAGTGATGAACATGGTCAAGAATTCTCAGCAGATATTCTTAAAAGAACAACAGTTACTTTCTGTTTTGGCCTTTCCATTCATTGCACCACTGTTGCCTTAATTAAGACATTTGCTGAGGTTTCCAGCATGAGATAATTACAACATTCTCCTGAGGGAGTTTTCTGTAAATCTTCTAATGCATGTACTACTTTGGGAACACAGTTTAGGATTTGCAATGATGGGCAGGCAAGCAAGAGGGATTGGATAAGTAAACCAGAATATATTGCATGAGTCATATATTTGTATATGCAGTATAAGTATATATTGTAACCATCTAGTCAATCAATATTATTGGGTTAACTATAAGGAATGTTGGAGCAATATATGTCATACTTACTGGGAGACCCAAAAATTCATTGAAGAAGTCTACAAGTATATTGTCGGTTGCTAAATACTCTTCCTGTGAGAACAGAGAAAGGGGGGGAAATGTGATGTGATGAGGTAGAATAAAGACAATTCTTCTTATTGTAGATTGTAGTTGTTAAGAATTTCCAGAATTCCTGCAGAGTAGCAATAGCACTTAGACTTATAACCGCTTTACAGTGGTTTATAGCCCTCTTTAAGCAGTTTACGAGTCAGCATATTGCCCCCAACAATTTGGGTCCTCGTTTTACCCATCTCGGAAGGATGGAAGGCTGAGTCAACCGGAGTCAAACCTGGTGAGATTTGAACTGCCAAATTGCAGTCAGCCGGCAGTCAGCAGAAGTAGCCTGCAGTACTGCACTCTAACCACTGTGTCACTGTGGCTCAGATTCTAGTCCACGTCAGGTCAGATTATGGTCTGCCTATATGAGCATTACCAGACTAATTAATAATATGCAGCTAAATTGGTAGATTCTTCAGCTGACTGGAGCCTCAGGCCAAGGTCTTCTCTATCATTTGTTGCCTGATCCATTTACAAATAAACATCACTAATCAATGGTAGTTTCCCAATGGACAAGCAGAAAAATCATTCTCAAGCCAGACCCTTCAGCCTAATTCCAGTGAAAGTAAATCTTTACTCTTCCATTTAAAGATATTGGAATCTTTATCATAGCAAGATTCTATTCCATTATATTATATCCAGCTGTGCCTCCAGGTTGACTATGTTGGCTGGGGAATGAAGGGAGCTGAATATCAAAACATCTGGAGTGGTAATATATTTGGATTTATCTCCTTTATTGGCAACTTCAGCTACATTTCCCTTAAGTTTTATGTTTTGGGATATATTGGTTTTGTAACTTTATGAACTCTATCTGCTCAGCTTTCCATTTTCAATTTGGGTATCAATTGAAGGATACTTAAGATTAGATTTAGGTGCAACAGCTACCCTTCCTCAACGTGACTCTAACATCTCCAATGCAAATCAAGTTCTTTTGCCTTAGGTAGTGATTTGGAAGGGGACAAATCTTAGCAAACCTCTAAAATTAATGGGGAGGGAGCAGCAGCACCCTTCAAATGAATTAGAAGTCTCCCACTGACTAAGCTTAGCCTTAGTGTTTTGAAGACTTTGTGTGAAAAATGTTATTAAAAACAGGTTACTATGTCCTATAGCATATTTCACATTTCATCAGTCACAGTGGGCGGATGACAACACTGTAAATGACGGGATATGACAAAAAAGAATGTTAATGGCTTTACTGGCCCAAGAAGCCCATAGAAAACAAATCCCTTGTTAGTTAGGGAATTTGAAGCGGGAGAAAATATGCAGACATCTATGTGTTATTAGCCCATGTTATTGAAAATACCAACTGTGAACTTTTCAATTTTATGACATTATATATATGACTTTCAAAACTGTGTGGGTGTATATGTGTCTTTGAGTCAATACTAACTCCTAGTAAGTGCCTGGAAAAATTCCTGAAGTTTTCTTGGCAAGATTTTTTTCAGAAGTGGTTTGTAATTTTATTTTTAATCTTTTAAAAACCTTTATAATTTCTATAAGAATTATATTTGTATTTTAATATTTAATCTTTTATTATTCCCTGTGTAATAGTACTAGCATCAGAATAATGTAAATTTTAGGAAAGCAAATCTCAAGTGTTAGAATAAATCTCAAGACAAAAAAAAAAATTCTACATTTCATATTTAACGCAATGAGTTAGCAGCCAAATGTCCCAAAGGTGCTTTTTCAAGAGGCAACTGGACTATCTGATTTTTCCTCTGAAGACATTACGCTTCTCTTGAGCTGAAGAAGCTTCTTGGATGAGAAGCGAAACATCTTCAAAGGAAAAATCAGGAAGTCCAGTTGCCTGTTGAAAAAGCACCTTTGGGACAATCATGATCTGGATGACTGAGAATCTCAATAGACATCTAGCAACCAAATATTTATTCTTAAATTTTGAACTTTATGAAAATCCTGGTTGACTAATAATTGAATAATCAACATTCACTGAATAATGAATGTTGTTAAAATGCAGACTTATTTGATAGGGATACAAATCTGAGCTTCAAAAACACAGATAATCAATGGATGGCAGTAAATAGAAATAGAAATTATAAACCAGTTGCTGCCATCTAGTGGGTGTTTGGATTTTTGCAGCAGGAGATCTTCCCAAGCTTTACTGAATGTGCAATATGTCCATATTGGTGCTATGCATTTGTGTTGTTGTAGTGTCAACAGCAGTTTTGGTGAGTTAGATATTATCAGGAATAACAACATATGAAAAATACTTTTCCCATGATAAGAGCCAGCCATGAATACCTTTCCCAATAAAGAAAGAAATCCTGTTGTTCAGACTATGAATGTGTGAAGAGAGGGAAATCTGAATAAAGATGCCTCCCCCTTTAGCAATTACACATGTAGAGGACTCAATGCAATCAAAGAGTAGCTGGTTTTCATTGTTGGCCCCACCCAAAAGGCCTTTAGTTTTTCTCTACAGGGGAAAAGCCTATGTATTCTACATACATGCATCTAAAGTAAGACATTTGCAGAATAAACATTGATTCCACTCTACAGTTTGATTATTAAAAGATATTTCTTGCTTATTAGACACATTCCACTAGGCAATAGTTCTCAACCTTGGCAACTGTAGGATGTGTGGACTTCAATTCCAGAATTCCAGCCAGCATCCTGGAGAGACATATTTACCCAGTCCAGTGGCGGATTAAGGCTCATTGGTGCCCTAAGCACTGACAAATCTTGGTGCCCCCCTCCTTTCAATGAAGAACCAATCTTCATTGGGTTTTTTTTTTCTTTCTCAACTTTGTGGTGCCCCCTTTGGGCCTGGTGCCCTAAGCACGTGCTTAGTCTGCCTAATGATTAATACACCACTGAACCAGTCTGTGAGACATATTTCATAGTCAACTCCTGGCTGTGGAAGTATCAACTTCTGTTTCATTAATGCCCAGTTAATAAAAAGATGCATATACATATAGTCCTTTGGATCCTACCTAGAATATTATTTAAAGTTACAGACAGTCCTTGACTAAACAACCATTCATCTAGTGACTGTTTGAAGTTACATCAGCACTGAAAAAAGTGACTTATGACCATTTTTCACACTTACGACCTTTGCAGTATTGCTATAGCCACATGATCACAATTCAGATGCTTGGCAATTGGCATGTATTTATAATGGTTGCAGTGTCCTGGGATCACGTGATCACTTTTTGCAAACTTCTGACAAGAGAGGTCAATGGGGAAATCCAGATTCACTTAACAGCCATTTGACTGATTTAAGAACTGCTGGCAACTTGAAAGCTTTGCAAGTTGACATTAGGGCATCTTTCGGAAACTTGACAACTGCATTCACTTAATTCACTTAACAACTGTTGCAAGAAAGGTTGCAATGTCATTTAACAATTGTCTTGCTTAGCCACAGAAATTTTGGACTCAATTGTGGCATAAATCAAGGACTATCTATAATCTATTTGTGCATATAAATCTTAGACTGTAATTCTCTATCTGTTTATGTGGCTATATGTTGCACTATAATTGAACTTTTTATTTTTTCAATATTCTTGTGCTTTCTTGAATACTATTAGATTTAGCCGAGCTGCTTGTTGTCCCAAATATTTCAAAGAAGCACTTATTTCTTTAATATTTCTGTTTCCCTACTATTTTGTATATAGTGATCTAGCTGCTCTTAGAAGAAGCACTATTGGTTTAAGTAAAATTGTTGATATATTTTTAACTTACTGGAATAGATAAAAGAAGGAGTATATTTTAACTTCAGATAATGACAACAATATTTTTTGTGAACATATGATACTACAGCAATACTACTGCCTAAAACTTTCCACTTTTATGTTTAAAATTATATGTAAAATATATTAAGCCTTTTCTTGTTCTTAACTCCTTGTAAGGGATGGATGATATTGTACAATAACAAAAGATATTTATTCCACAAAATTGATTTGCTTGCCCTTAGTATCCTGATAATCATGTATAAATCTTAACTTGGCTGCCAGCTAGAACGCAAACCTCTGCCAGAAAGTTGTGTGCTGATTTATCGTCAAGTAATTCACCTACTTTGACAATTCAGCACATTTTTCTTCAATTCCAGATTACCTCCCTTAGGCAGAGCCAAACTGAACTAAAGTTGTTGTAGAAATAGGGTCAAATTATTTTGTCCTAAATAACGTATACTTTGTCAGAGCAAAAAGAAGCAGATTCTTGGATAGGATGAGGTAATGGGGTAGGCAGAGACGTTTCAATAGGTGCATTTCACCAAAATATCTATGGAGATTCTTAGTCATCCAGGTTGCAGATGTCCCAAAAGTGCCTTTTCAAAAGGCAACTGGACTTTATTTTTTCTTTGAAGACATTTGAAGACATTTGACTTCTCAAAATTGCCTTTTGAAAAGGCACTTTTGGCTTCACCAAAATGATGTCCCCATCTGCATCAAACCATCTCTGTCTTTCTGCTGGGTCCCTATGACATTGCCTTTCTTTGTCCTCCAAGTGAGCTGGGTTCAAGCTGGCCTAAGCTGTACTGTTATTAAAACAGAGCTTTTCCTCGTATTCTGAGAGTAGCCTCAAATTGTTTCGCACCTGTTAAGCTTTGTACCTTGAAGGCTAATCCAGTGGCTGGCAGGGACAGGGAACACGAGTGACAGAGGTAGTACGAGTTTATGGATCAGCACTGGTTTCATACTTGTAAAGCTTTTTATTGACCCAACAATGGGCCAATAGAGAGCACTATCCATTGCTTAATGTGGAAAAGGGCCTGAGATACCAATGCACTTAATTCTTTCCTGTTTTGTTTATAACTTCCTGTTTAATCTGACTTCTAAACAGAAGTTTTAGAGCATCTGGCAGGCTGAATTATGGAAAGGATAAGACCTTTAGGGAAGGAAAGCCACGTTCCTCTCTCTGAAGTTATTCCTTTCTTTAAAGGCCCAACTTGGCCCTCCCTATTCTTCTTCTAGTCTATCTGAATCTGTGAAAGAATTGGAAAGGTGCAGATGGAATATGGTCATCCAGGCAAGAAAGATAAATGATGATGGTTCCCTGCTTTGTCCTGAAACTTAACTGTGGAAGAAGAGGTTGTATATCAATGTTTCTCAATCTTGACATCTTTAACATGTGTGCACCGGTTCCCAGAATTCTCCAGCCAGTCTGTTGGATTGGGACTTCTGAGAGTTGAAGTCCACGCATCTTAAAGTTGCCAAGATTGAGAATCAATGCTCCATGTTTCTCACTCCTCCTGCAAAGGATGTTTGAAGTAAGAGGAAAGATTTTTGGAGGGAGAGCTCTAAGCTTTCCAAATTAATGCTCCCATTGCATTCTTTTTCAAATTATTACGTACGTACGTCTTCAATAATATTCACAGTTACTATGGAATGAAAAGCATTTGATTAAGTGGAACTTATTTCTGATTCAAAATGTTTAATGTTCTGCCACAATAACACGGTTGCATAATAACACAGTTGCAAAATAACATGGTTGCATAAACAGAGTGATAGAGTCAAGATCACATCACACTTAAGACTCTTATCTCTGCAAAAAATGCATGTAAGATACAGTTGGTTGCTGCAACTGACTGGATAATTATATATAAAGGACAGGGAAGATTTAAATGTCAGTTATGCTCTAGCAGCATAGCTGCTCTATCTGAAAATCGGTCAAATACTAGAATGACTATTTTCAATAAGTTGCAACGAGACAGGAAAAACAGTTTACTTACAAATTCATTCTCTCTTATGGAGGGAGGCACTGAAACATAAACAAAAATAGAATTAATGATGTATATCTAATAATGAAAGTTATCTGGACCAATTATGAAGTTATTAAAATTATTCAGACAAATAAATTCTTGATGTTTTATTAGTAGCCAATTATCAGTTATGGCAAAATCAGTTATTAGTAAAGCAAAATAGCTATACAGTAATCATAAGCCCCCACCCCCAAGATCAATACACTGATCATAAGTTTCTGTTCACACTAGAAACAGCAATAACCAAATAAATCAAACACCCAGATAGTTTCTTCCTTGTAAAAATACTGTTTTACTTGCTTGTTAAACGCAATCAAGTAAAATAGTGAGGAATTTTGAGAGACAGATCTCTTTATGGGGTCTATTCATTTTAAAATATTCATGCCAACATATAGGATATTTCAACATGTTTAGAATGTATATGTTTGCCATTAAGCAAGAAGAAAGCCAATTTTTAAATGGTTCCTTTCCTGTGTAAAAAGCTTGTTGGGCAGTTCTTAGCAAGTTATTATTAGGTTGATAAAACATTTCAATTTCTACATGTTTTAAAGCTTATGATAAGCTTTAAAAGATGTAGAAAGAAGAACAAGAACAATTCTGATTAGTTCTCTGAGTCTGCTGGCAATCCTATATATTAAGTTCTAATATTTTTAAAACATCTCATTTTCTAAATTCTAGTTTTGTAAGACAAATGTCAGAGAAATGACCACTGTGTCAGACTAAATTGGTGTTTCAGAATGAAGTGTCCATGAACATTCATTATGGCTTGCTGAATTAGCTTTCATTGAAGAGTAATAGATTTTGAGCTCATTCAGTTAAATTTCTAAGCAAATGTCAGAATTATTTTTGAGACTTAAATGATTCAGAAGAGAAAAACAACGAACTTGGACCTAGAAACCTTTGGTTGGTGATCTGCTGCTTTCTGTATGTTGCTGAACAACAATTCTTTATAGTCAACATAGCTAATGTGAAAAAAGCAGGAATAATAGAGAGTAAATTCCTCATTTTTGTCCCTATGTCAATATGGGGACCTGTGTCATGAGTCATAGCCTTTCCTGTTCTGTGTTCCATATATATAGAATGGAAACCAAATCCCATTTATAAAAATGGCATATTCATGTTAAAAAGTATTTAATTTGGGTGCAACAGACCAACTCAAAATAAACCAGAGTTAAGCTTTCATTTATTTCACTGAAATGACAGCTACTTCATTCTTAGTTAAATTGTGTTCTTTTGTTTCATTAGGACCTTTTGCTGTGAACCCAATTCTGCATTTATACAACCATTTGCCAACACTGGGTCATCAACTAGCCAATCTTAACTGACCCTGACAAAGCTGAGCGGGGTTAGTATTTCACCAGAAGACCAGCACGAGATCCCAAGGCTGATAAGCTTGGGAAAAAAAATATTCTTGGAAAAAGTCAATGGCAAACTTTAGAACTGCTAAGAAAACTGCTCTGTCAAGCACAAGTCATTGGAGACTTTACCATTTGGAAATATTATTTATGAAAACCGGAATGTAACAGTTGGAAGGGACTTTGGAGGTCATCAAGTCCAGGGGTCTCCAACCTTGGCAACTTTAAGCTTGGAGGATTTCAACTCCCAGAATTCCCCAGCCAGCAACTTGCTTTAAGCCTGGAGGACTTCAACTCCCAGAATAGTTGAAGTCTGCCAAACTTAAAGTTACCAAGGTTGGAGACCCCTGATCTAGTCCAACCCCCTGCTCACGCAGTAGACCTATACTTCGGATTCGAACCGCCCAAATGCTGACTTTTCTGATCGACAAGCTCGGCGTCTTAGCCATTGAGCCACCTAGCCAGGCTATGGATTGACTTTTTAATTTGACTTTTTAATTTTAATTCAATTTTAATTTTACACAGGAATTGCAAAGGAGGAAACCCCCAAAATTAATCTGAGCGGTGCTTGAGGAAGAGCAGATCAGGACTTCTATGTTTTCACTGTCCACAAACGATTCATGTTGTCCAAAAAAATATTTCTGACTACTCTCCTTTCTTTCTGACCGTGCCTTTCCTTAGAACAGCGGGACAACGCTGGGGGCCACGGGAGAGGGGCGAACTGGCATTTTCCAGGGTCCGCTTCTTTCCCACCCTCTCCGGATCACGGTGAGGAAGCCCCGGGCAGCCTCTCAGTTCTGGCACCTACCGGTAGTGAGTTTCTTCTCTCGCATGGTGCAGACGCGCGGCCGGGCTCTGCAGAAGCCCTGTTGTTCCCCCCCGCCCACGCCCCCGAGTTGAGTTAAAGCCTCATTCTTCTCCGGCGAGCGCAGGGGGGGAAAGCGGAAAGAACAGCCCTCCTCCGCTGGGGCCGTTGAAAGAGGCTGCCTGCGGCGAACTTCAAGCCGAATTTTGAGCGCAAAAGGGCTTGCCAAGAGTTTGCACTTGGCGCTTAGCCTGGTTTGTGTGGTCTCACAGCGAAGCTGGGTTGCTATGGAGCTGCGGGTGACAATGCGGGGAGGAAAGACGAGGGCAGTTGTTGACCCCAACAAGGCACCAACCCTGGTCGGGAGCGGGCAGGGCAAAGCAGAGGCTTTTCTCCACCACACGACCCAGCCGGAGGAAACGAGGCAGAGAGAAGCGACAGTCGCCAACTCGAAACAACCAAGAGAACTTCTCCCCGCTGGTAGTTAGTTATTCGAGAAGCAAAGAAAGGACGGAAAATGTGGCTTATGCTAGCCCGGCCCGCCAAAGCTGATGCCCGCTCTTCCCCTCGCCCCCTCCCCCGCTCCCCTCATTGGCTAGTGACCGGTGCACTTTTGAAAGTTTGCGCGCCCCCTCCCCGCCCGCTCTTTTCTCCGGAAGCTCGGAGAGTCCTCAAGTCTGGTCTGGCAATCGGATGGAGAAAGTACTGAACAACGTGTTTATGGTTCCCACCAGGTGCAATTTGGATAGTCTGATCAAAGATGAAGCGAAATCTATCGATCTTATTTTCAAGATAGGCCATTTCTATTGTGATGCATTTGGCAATAGCTAATGCGGCTGCCTTGGTGACGATTATACTGTGTGGAATTCTTACCTGCGTTTATCTGGCAAGGCTCCCTCCTACCTATGTTTAGCAACAACCTTTTTGGTTAGTCCCCGGGGGTTCAGATGAATGGCTGGCGTTTTGGGCCAGTCACACACTTCCATTCTACCAATGAATTGTTTGTCTTCAGTTATTTTCATTATTTCCATTTAAAGTTCTATACAATTGGTCTGTCATTAGTACATATACACTGCTCAAAAAAATAAAGGGAACACAAGCAGAAGACATCCGAGATCTGAATGAATGAAATAGCCTTATTAAATACTTTGTTCGTTACATACAGTAGTTTTGTGTTCCCTTTAGTTGTTTGAGCAGTGTATAAACTACTGTATGTAACGAACAAAGTATTTAATAAGGCTATTTCATTCATTCAGATCTCGGATGTCTTCTGCTTGTGTTCCCTTTATTTTTCTGACCAGTGTATATTAATAGTGGACACCCATATAGTGTCGTTTTTCCAAAGTTAGAAGTTTCAGATTTTTCGGTCTGAGAGATTCCTGTATGCATGAGGTTGATTATTTAAGTTGCAAGAAATATCATTCAGTCCTACAGAGATTTTTGGTGGACGATGACAGAATGAGAAATGAAGTCATAGTGGCAGGTTTTGGTAACTTGAAAAGAAGATTAGGCCAATTTGTGTAGAAAAAGCTAGAAATGATTACTAGTCATGCAATGTATTACCTTCAGTAGTAGAGGGACTGTGCTTCTCATTATCAGTTAGTACAGAAAATGAGTAGGATGTATTTATATAATTATATATTATGTAATATATATCATATGTGTACATATATAGACATTGGTGGGACAAAAAAGTTTTAAGTATGATTTTCAGGATTTAGAAAAATTTTGCGGTGAATAAATCGAAAAAGGATTAGCTTAGTGTTGTTTTTAGAAAATTAGAAATTCCCTGAGGATCCATATCAATTTGAAAGAAGATTTTGAAATTATTGATAAGATTCCTTCCAAATGGTTGTTGTTTTGAATTCTGAGAAAAATGATAAGACTTTCAAAGTTGGACATCAGAGGAAACAGGAAGAAACTAAAGATTACAATTAAAGCAGACTTACTTAAACTCAATTTGCTAACATAGAATGGAGCAAAATATTTACATTGGACATGTTGAAAGGTATTTGTGAACAATGGACTCCGAAATTAATTTTAAAAATGTCTGCCAATATAGATAGACTTTGTAAATGATCTTATGTAAGAGGAAGAGGTTCTACCAGACAACACTGAAATTGATTTGAATGTGGATTTACAAATTACAGGCTAAAAGAATGATCTGGCAAAAGAGGATATATTGAATATATAAATGAAATGTGCGAATGTCTTAATAATTACCTGTAAAAAAAACATATAAATAACAAGCCAGAAGAATGACTATATTGATTTAGTTTTGTTAACGTTTTGAAGACATTTGTGAGAAATGACAAAGAAAAAAAGGACAAGAAATCAAGTTCTAGGACATAATTTGAAGGGATTAAAGATTAAGATTGTTAAAAGTAAAGGACTATAAAGTTGGTTTATTTGACCATGGTTAAAAAAGATGTGTTGCTATCTCTGCTAAACTTTAATGGACGTCTGCTGTCTAGGACTGAAATAACAATATTTTACAGATTTGTTCATAAATAAGAGATAAGTTATGGGAAAAAGAGAACACTTGTTGTATTTTAGGAGAAGGTAATAAATTACTAAAATTGCTTATAATTGTGATGAAGGGGAAATTACTTCTTTATATATTTCTTTTCTTTTTCTTTACTATATCCTTTTGTTTCTTTTCTATTTTTTCTATTCTTTTCTTTTAGCACTTTTTTCTTTTATTAGTTTTCATCTGCATTGTAACGTAATTGTAACATTTAATAAAATTATTGATATATATATATATATATATATATATATATATATATATATATATATAGAGAGAGAGAGAGAGAGAGAGAGAGAGAGAGAGAGAGAGAGAGAGAGAGAGAGAGAACGAACTACTTGCAGAAGAATAACCACTAATTCAGGGATATGGTTCATGGAGTTCTGGAAACTAAAGTAGAAATACCCCTGATTAAGCCATCCTAGTCTTCCCAGTTTATCATAACATAAACAAGCCAAGAACAGAGTCCTGGTTGAATATTTTTATATCTAACAAATGCCCTTCTATATATGCTGGTCCTTTTGTTTCAGACAGATGTTTGGCAGTTGCAGAGACCAAGGTCATTCTACTCCTAAACATCCAACTTCCATCCTCTTGCTTTCAGGTCTTTACATGATCTCATTGAAATAAACCAAGATTTCTCTGAGCAGTAAGTTGTAACTGATAGCCAAAGAAAACATATTTTAAATATTAAATACACACTGGATATAGTTGGCAGGAAGAACTGGAATATGAATCTATGATGCTGAGTTTACAATTGCCATGAATAGACCTTAGTACAAGATTAAAAATAGGTATATTTCTGAAAATGAATCTTTGATGTCCCCTACTGGTGAAATCCAGCATATCTCAAAAGAGAAACTCACAGGGCTGTGCTGTAGAGTGTCAGATATCAAACATCAGGGGAGTAGAAGATATTTGGTTCTCTGAGCCTATTTATTGCAAATCCTCCTACATCCCTCTCAGCACAGGCTTCCCTGAAGATCCAAATTCAACAATGAAAAAATGCCCTCAGTTTCTCACAAGATCTTCTGGCAGCAGCTTAAAGTACTCAGAGGGAGAGTGTGGGTGTTTTGTTGTCTGTTTTATATCACTTGAATTCATATGGCATGGATTCGGTTATAATTAATTTCATTCTAGTCATGGAAAAGCACAAGCAATTGGAACCAAGATATTTCCATGCTGTGACAAAACCTTTTTGGAAGGGATTCTTTATTTGGCTTGTTCTTCTTATCCCATATTTATGGCATTCATTATTAATTTGATTGTTGCATGTGTCCAGCTTGCTTATGGGAGGGCAAACAAATTGAAGCTTAATCGTAGATAAAACAGAGATCCTCCAGTTGTCAATCAGGCAGATTAGGAACTCAAGATGCAGCTTTCACTGCATAGAATCACATGAAGATTCAGATATGCATTCTAGGTGTCCTCCTGGATTGTCCTCAACTTGAATGCTGAGATTTCAGCTAGGGCCTGGAATGAATTTGTATATCTCAGCTCAATATGCCAAATGCAGCCACTTTGGTGGATTTCCAATGGGAAAAAAGTCTTGATAAAGAGGTCTTAATAAAGTAGAGCTTAGCTGTATAGGGAATGGACCATTTTTGCTCTTCATGGGCCACTTAAACTATCCAAGATGCAACTAATCCAGAATATTGCATTCAGATTGTTGATAGGAGTCAAAGGTAGGTTAGCAACTGCATCATTTAGCAACCAATCTCAGTTATAACAGTGATGAAAAATTAGCTTTGTGACCAGTGCCCACATTTACAAACTTCACAGCACCTCTCTCAGCCACATGTTCGCCATCACAGACAGTTAATACACACTATTCTGGGTAAAATCGTAAACATGGCTGGGATTTTTTTACTTGGCAACCTTTTTATTTAACAACTGAATTGTCAGTCAAATTAAAACTAACAACTTCAACATGCAATGCCCTATCACTAAGTCATGGGTACTTCTACATTCATATATGGTTTACAAGATTGTTAACATGATCTAGAAGATGAAGAGGTTGCACATGGGTAAAAGTACAAAATAGCAAACCTGTTTTTGGATTAAATACTGTACTTTGTGTTGTTAGGGCTATGTAGTCCATCTTGTCAATTGAAATATAGTGACTTTATAGACACAACAATTGGGCAAGTTAGCATTAATGGAAATAGACTGGGGTCAAATTTATATTCAGAAGTTTCATTAAAAATTACTGACATATGTTTATGATTTAGCTTGAACAATATGCTGAGTTGATTTAGGGCATGTAGAACACATAATGCAACAACAACAAATCTGAAGGCTAAAACCAAGCCAACCATGCTTTGTACATATATCTCTTGGAATGCTTATCTGGCATAAAAAAAGCATATAGTTTAAACCTAGTAAAAGTTGGCTGAGCCCATGAGATGTTACATATTTACAACACACGCATCTGTCTCTCCACTGCTTGAAAAAGGCAGATAGCATTACAAAAACACCTTTGGCACATGCCAGCCATTACCCAAATGTAAATTTGGCAAATCATCCCACAAATTATATCACATTTTACAGTTCACTTAACATGTTGGTGTTGTCAGAAGAAACCATTAAAAACTGAAGCCTTGTAACATTCATTACCATGCCCTCAATAACTCAAACTGAATCCCTGTTTCATGACTATGCAAAGATAAATCCTATGCATTCATTTCTGAGCAATTTATGCTGGAACATTGGGCTGACAAAATCACAAGGAAAACTTCCTGTTGTGAAGTTTAAGATTTTGCTCCTTCTCCAGCAATCACAGAGAAGGTATTATCACTATAAATAGCTTTAGCTCCATGGCCAACTCATTCCCTCCTCCCCCCAAATTGCTGATTTTGTGGGGTCACATGACATGATAAATCAAGTACTATACTTAGGTAATTTTGTATCAGTACGTATTATGTTTTAATATTCACATGTTAAGACAATGATTGTAACACATTCAGTGGCAAACTGTTTTAGTACAGTCTGATAAGATCTCAACAAA